CTCTCGTGCGGGCCCTGGACTTCGTCTTCATTGTGACAATGGACTCACTGCGAGTTTCATCTCCAGGGAGAGGATCAGGGATCTCGACGAGAGTTTTATGCACTCAGTTGGTGCACTTATCAGCTCATCCAGGGGAGTGTTTGGTGGCTGGGAATGCAGATCGGCGTCAGTCATTTCTGAGGACCGGTGCAATCTCCCCAGGGGGTTATCTATGGGGCCCACTATGGAAAAATGCACTTCTCTCCTCGGGAGAGAGTGCACATGGTGAAAGGATGTAAGCTTACTATTTCTCCTCGTGTTCGGCCTCGGCGATAATCCCTCACCAACTCTCTGGATCCTGTCACTCGTCTCGATGGGGTCTTCTCCGCAGTAGTTTTTCGACTAACTCTCGTTTGACGGGCGGATGTTCATCGCTGGTGGGCGCGACTGGCGCGCCGTCTAGCTGTGGCCGGGGGCACGTCCATGTAGACTAGCGTGCGGGGAGTTTGATTCAAACGTAATTTTGATGTACTTCGGCATTAAGCCATAATTCTTAATCAGAAATTTAATTAACCGGATATTAACCCTAATTAGTTGTTGGTAACGAAACGAGACTCGGAATGAGGAATTTTTGCGCAGCTGTTCGCCTTTCTTACTCGCGAATGCACTTTTCATCTAAGTGAATGCACTTTATTGTCACTGTCACTCCCCGGAGCTATTGGGAAATCACCAACAACAAAACCGTAAAACTGAAGGAAGTCCATGGCAATCCATGCAGATAAGTGGACTAGGTCAGAGTACCCCAACTCTATAGGAAAAAGTGTCGCCAAAAATAAAATGGCGGTTTAGTTTCAAAAGTTATGACGGCGTCGCCACAAGCGTCTCGCGCAATCGCAGGAAGGTTTGAATGTTGTTATTTTTCATGGCAATGAGACCACAACCTAACAAAATTTGTGTCAAGCTACATTTGAATACATTAATTGTGAAATATTTTGATAGCAAATGTAAATATTGACGTGATAGTCAATATTGAGTGTGAACTCTTCTCAATTCGGGTCGGACGGGAACATAATGTCAACAGACAGTTGTGACTCGAAATCTAAGTGTGTTTTGCCAGGATGTAGGACATCAACAGCAGCCCAATATCACACAATCCCTATTAAGAATCCCTGGAGAGTAGAGCTTTGGAGGAAGGCAATTAATTCATCTAAATTAAATGGCCTTGAGACTCAGCAATTATGTAAATATTATGTTTGCTCCAATCATTTTGAAAAAAGTGATTACTCAATCACTTCCTCACGCAGATGATTAGAAACTCACGTTATACCCCATAAAAATTTAGCGGAGAAAATCTCTGTGAGTGAACCCAAAAGTCAAGACATTATTAAACAAGCAATGATGGGATTAGATATTGAAAATTTGGGGGAGGAGACAGTGAACCACAATCCGTCCTCGCTTCCAATTCTACCAAAATTGAGTGCACAGTTCTACAGTTGCACAGCTCCCACAGTCACTCTGTTTCGTGATTCTACCAGGTGTGCGAAAACTTCACAGAACGCTGCAAATTGTAGTGAATCTTTCCCTGAACTCCTAAACGATAAACCTGCTCTACAGCAGCCAGTGGAGGGAATTTCTGGAGTAGAAGTGGAGCAAAAGAAGACATTGGCTAGACAAAATAGTAAAATAAAAATACCCTCAGAACTTCGGTGGTACATCCAAAATTTAAAGGAAAAGCATAATTCAGTGAAGAGGGACAAGAATTTATTGAAGAAAAAGTATCGAAGTATGTCTCGAAACTAGCGGAGAGCGTCAATAAAATTAGAGAGGGTGAAGGAGATTTTGAAGTCAGATCGTTTCACGAAATGGGATAAAATGACGCGTACAAAAAAAAACTATTTTCTCTATGACGCTGCGAAATGCTGGCAAGCACGCAAGGTATGTCTTAAAAATCTTATCTTACTCTATTATATTTGAAATGTTCGATTCTCCGGAAAATTATCGAAAGTTGCAGAAAGGTCCATACCGTTACAGAATATTGTAGAAAATTCGAGAGTGATCTTGAAACATCTTCTATTGTTTAACCATTATATATTATTAAATGTTCTAGAATATTATGGCAATTTCTAAGAATTTCTAAGAACTTAATTCAGCCAAAATATTACAAAACCCTCGTGACCCTTTGTGGTTTCTCTAGAAGTTTCCCGACTGTTCTGGAAATTGCTAGAAACAATCATTCTTAAATTGGAGAAGGCAGGGTACTTGAAGGGTAATTGAAGAGGAGAGGGTAATAAAGGGAAGGGGGTACTACCCGCAAGGCTCGCAGTACCACTGGCAATCAATATTAGAGTCTATTTGGCATGTTTGACAAATATTGTTGAGTTGCAAGGGTTTAATGAGATATATTCAAGCCTCAGTGATTCCAATAACTATAAGAAAGGTCTCTCGATTGATGAGTTTAAACTTCCCCACTCCACACTTATACTATATTGCACTTCATCTCTACTTTTTCCTGATTAAATTCGAATCACTCGTAATTTTTAATTGATAGTAGTTGATTATTTCATCATTAATCATGATGTGATTTCATATTTAATTTAGGGCATGAGATGCACTCAGTCGGAAAAAGTGTCGTCACTCGGCTTAGCGAAGCGTTTAGGAGGGGGCTATAATTTTCTAGCGGAGAATATCATACTGCCTGGACTCTCAACGGTGAATACAGTGACTGAAAAAATTCCCTGCTCTACGGGGCTCACCCAAGTAGTTCTCACTAAATTGCGTGAATTTGGAGAAAAGTTGGAGGAGAAGGAGAAATTTTGCATTTTGATGTGGGATGAAGTGCAATTAATGCTCCATCTTCAATACGAAAAATCCTCCGACCAAATCGTAGAATTTGAAGATTGGGGGTATCGAAGAACCGCAGGGTTCGCCAACCATGGCCTGGTTTTTTTTCTTCGAGGTATCAACTCTGGGTGGACTTTGCCAGTCTTTTATGGTTTCTGTAGCCATCTGACGAAGCAGCCAGATTTGGTACGCTGTGTAAAATTGGTTGTAGAGGCTGTAGAGTCCACAGGGTTCAAAATACTGGGAACAGTCTGCGATCAATCAACCTCCAATAGATCGACTCTAAAGGAACTTACGAGGCAATCCAATGTTATACGACGTGAAAGAGGTGAACACCCAGGTAAATGATTACCTTAATCTACAATCCTAACGATAGATCTTAAAATGATATTTGGACTATTTAAGCTCTCTACTGGATTTTCATTGAAGATGAGAAATTCGATCCAGTTTGTAAAGTCTCGGTTAATTGTGCATTTCTTTCGAGAATCAGTGGTTTTAGGCAAAAATGTCAAAAGCCCTTTATTGTAAGTTTTGAAATTCTTTACATGAAATGTGTCTTGAAATTTTTCTCTAAAGCTGATAAACCATAAAAAAAATTTTGAATTGTTTCTCTTCACCATGGCCACTGGGAATGAAATCTGACATGTTGTCCTTCAGTGGAAAAAACAGAATTCACTAGGAATCCACTTCTATGAATAATAATAGAAGACTAATTCATTGCACACGATACAATCATAATCGGCGAAGCCGTGTTGATCCCCTTGATGGACCCACCCCATGTCTTAAAGTGTACTCGAAACAATATGGTCACAAAGCCACTCGAGATGAATTACCTCGTGAAAAAAGTCTCCACTGCCCTAAGAGCTCAGATGACTAACCGAAACCCGGTGGAAACCGATGAGAGCCCTGTAAAAAAACAAAAGTTAGCTTGGTGGTCTGTCATTAAGCGTGCTTACATGATTGATCAGATGGCTCATGGTTTTCATCCACGAATGGATAAATTAACGAGTCAACATATCGATGAAATTCAAATGAACAAGATGAGAGTGAAGCATGCAGCACAAGTCTTCAGCAATTCGGTAGCAGAATGCATTGGATCTTTTGCAAAGACTGGTGAGTAACTCATTTTTCATTAGAAGAATATTTTTCCCAAAAGAATCCCGACAATTATTAATCTTCAAGAATCACCCAAGTTAATTCAATAATGGAGTGGTAAGAAGTAATAATTCCATAATTCACATTATTTTGGATACTTATTATTCAAATTATTTATTTAAATTATTTTGAGATGATCTTGGCTGAATAACTGAGTTTGAGGGGAAAAGTTAATGAAGATTTATTTGTTGGGAATTTTTGTTGTAAAAAACATCCTTTTTACTTATTATTAATCACAGATCACCACTTCACTACCGAATTGATATTTATGTGATTCTATTATTTACTTTCTCCGCTCATGTTCCTCAACCTAATTCGATGAAACACTCCATAACATATCATTAAACCTCTAGGAAACATTTACAACTCGTCTAGATTGCTGGACGATTGCTGGATGTATCCTTCCCACCATTGCACTTTACTCCTGTCCTTCATATAAAGTATATGTAATCCAAAGTGATGTTAAATGGTACACTGTAATGATTTTTTACCTGTTTAGGTTTCTACACCGATTATATTCAACGATCCACTACTCTGTACATATTCGATTTTTAGTCCTACACTGAATAGTTAGTACTAGCGATTATGCAGCATCATCGATATGAACTGACGATTACATTTTCATCATGGGACTCAAGTACAATTGGGTGATGTATATTAAAAGAAATTTTTTGTTGTTGAAAAAATAGGGAAAATTGGGTAATTTTTATATTTTCATCGTGAATTTTCCATTTAAAAAAACATTAGAATGGGGGGGAAATTGTTGAGCCAAATTTTTCACATTTTGCAGCACAGCACATATCTTAAACCGCTCACATAATATTATCATTTATTAGCATTTTTTTATCATCAACTATCCTACAGTATACATGAATTCTACATTAATTAACATTAAATATGATAACGCTAGCGCCTCAGATTATCCTGGTATGGATAGATATATTCATCATATTTATATATATGCAATTGTTATTTTCGTGTTACGAAGAAGGAAAAGAAAACAATGCAGACTTAAAGCGATTGATTCAGGGAACATAAATAATGCAACGTAAAATGCATGTTACTAGTAACCGAGAGCCCAAAATGACACACTATGAATTGAGTATAAACATTGTAAATTAATTACACTGTCTTTCCGATCTAGCTGGTGGATGTGAATGACTGTAAAAAATTTTTTGGGGTGGAGTTGTGAAGGTTGAGGGTAATGGTGTCGTTGGGGACCATGGGGCAGTTGTGATGATAGCACTTGCTGTTGTAGGGAATTCTGGGGGATAGGGATTTGAGCCTGGCGGTGCTTGTGGCATGAGAAATTGAGGGATTTGTGTGGGTGTAGTTGTAGCACCAGGGGATGACAGTGTTGATGGGTAGGCTGACTGATTTGGGGAAGTTATTTGATACTGTTGGGCTGGTATAGCCTTACCCGATAAATAAGGAATTGGTGCTGAGTCTGGTGGTGGTATATAGGACTGTGGTGGTAATTGTGGAGGTGTCATTACTGCGGTGTATATTATTGATGGACCCGGTAGGAGAATTTGTGATGGTGAGGCCAGCTTTCGAGACTTGAGAATGGCTTCAGCAGTTGAACCTGATGATACTAAAAATATAAATGTTCACAATTACACGTTACGTGAGGGACGAATTCTAATATCTAGGAATCTGCATGAAATAGATGAATTTCTGTGGATACCTTTATTGTAGAGTCAAATGTAAGCTATAAAAAAGGTTCATATGAAAAACCCAATATCTCTGTAACATTCAAAGATATTCATAAAAAAATGTTCGGTAAATGAAGTAGTGAAACAAGCTTAGGCAATTTCACTTTTTTCAGATTACTTTCAGAGAAATATCTGAAAATGGACATTATTTGGTTAGTTGTCAATTCCATTATTTTGACATTCATCACTAATTTTTGGATTAAATTCGAAGGCAAAGCCATTCACCGATGAAAATCAATCTTTCGATTTATTAACGATATTACAAAATTCTTTAATAGGGTTTGTAGGCCCCTGTCCTGAACTGAGAATTGAAAGAGATGAAGGGCTAAATACAGCAGAGGCTTGCAAATTTTTCAATGACGTTTTTGATTCAGTCAATGGATCATTGCCTCCAAAGCCTGGTGCCCCATCCTTACGCACTCCAATCACAGATGACAGTCCCTATCACTCCTTCTGGCAGACAGCTATCGACACGCTGAAGAAGATGCGTTATGTCGATCCCATATCCTTGTCCCCTCCAAGACACCCAGCATATCCCATTCCTAGCTGGCTGATGACTTTGGGAGGCTTCCAAAAACGGTGGCAAGTTCTAAAATTGAAAGGATTTACAGAGCTTCGACCAAAATCAATAAATCAAGATGTTTTAGAGAATTATTTTGGATTGATGCGAGCCTTCGCTGGCCCAAACGATTCCCCTTCATGTTGGCAATTTGGTGGAAATTACAAAGCCCTGCTCATTAATAATTTAAATAATAATAAGCGTGTAGGTGCAAATTGCGAAGAGACGTGCGAAGGTGAGCTCTTATTTACCTTAGAGAGTCTGTTGATTGCGGACAGTCAATCCCCAATAGCGACAATGGATTGGGATGATGAGGTGGAGAATATCTTTCCGCCTCTTCAATCCAATCCATATTTTTGCAATAATGGTGGCGATTACTTGTTAAATCCGGCGGACAAAATTAGGGAAAAACTTGGGAAATCGATTTTAATGGAAGGTATATTTGGAATATGTGAAAAATGTAAAGTATCCTTTGTTAGACCGCGAGGTATGAATCAAGTGTCTGATTTCGACATGATCAATGGGAAGATACTCCAAACTTTGATCATAATAATGCCCAAAATATGTCACTGGCGAAACATTAGTGCAGTATTGTTGAGCAGAGTGCGAAAAATTATCGATGATTCGTGGATGTGGTGCGAATTGCATAGGGCAATCTGTCATGATGAGATTATGAAACTCATCATCGACCAGTTTTTGTTAAATTGGTGCACTATGCTCAATCGCCATTTGACAGGCAAAACCAATCACTTGAAAGATTTACCAATATTCCAACAAGCAACACAGATGTATGAAAAATTGTACACACGTCGAAAGAAATAAACACAACAATATATTTGAATTAATTTCAGGATAAGGAGAGTAGTCAATCGGAAGACAATGTACAATCTTAGATTCTTTGATATATTGTTAATAGAGTAGAGATAATTGAAGAATTGTTAAAGCTCTCTAATGAAAAAATTGAAATCACTTTCAAGTTCAGTTGTTTATATTTTTTATTGTTGAAAAAATTTTAAAATGAAGAAACAATGAAATGTAAAAATATTTTATTTGGTGACAATAATATTGTCCAGTCTCTCTCAGTCTGCACGACTTGTTAAATCACAATTGTAACTGAGAGTAATAAAAATTCATTAAGTCTTGCATCTACTTGAATTTATTGCTAACGAAAATAATAAATTATTTACCACAATGCGTTGTAAAATCATTTCGATTCATCATTGCTTTCGAAAACCGTTAGAACTTTTTTCGTATCACTTTCGCTAGCCAGACCCTCAAGGCAATTCACCATGAATCTTCCAAGTCCTTTCCTCCTAATCTGATACTTCAATTAGAGTTCATAACTTTAGAGCATCGATTTTTTAATTAATTTATGGTTTTTTATTATCAGAGAGGGGAAAGTCTCGTGGACTCGCCAAAGTTTCTGGGAAATATCTCAAAATCCAAGAGAGATACTAGAATTTTCGTTCTGATAGATTCCAGTCATGAATTTTCATTCTTTAAAGAGAAAAATGACGATTTTAATTCGTTATTTTGGTGTTTCTTCCTTCAGATATTATAAATAAAGTCATAAAACAGACAAAAACGGCCAAATGGGCGTTTTAGAATGGAAAATTCTCGTGGTGAATCAGTTGACAATCCAAATGGTCTCAACATGATGTAAAATGCATGACATAAGTGCTCAGGGAATTACTCTCGTTGAGGACTAAGAAACGTCAGCCATTGTCAATAATGGAGGCTGTTTACCTCATCACACCATCCAATTCCTCTGTACAGGAACTGATTGATGACTTCAATAATGCAACGAGAATGATTTATAAAGTTGCACATGTTTATTTCACTGAAGGTAAAATTTCAAGACCTTTTCCATGTGTAAACGAACGTTCAACTTTTTTTTATAATTTAGTGAGCACAATGATTTTTTTTGGAATATAGGATCACTGATCAATGATTTCGTCGACTGTTACTATTTTTTTCTATTCTTTATCGAATTTTAATGAAATAATTGAATTCTAGAGTGAAATTCTGAAATAGAATAAATAAACTGACATTTCTGCTGATTAATTATTGAATTATCTCATTACTAAGTGTTTGTAGAGAAAAATGTCAGTAGATCTTTTTTGCAGGAAATTTTCTCAGCTGCAAAAAAAGTTTTTTGATATTTTTACCTAGGACCACTCCTTCTGGAGATAATTTCATATTTAGCAGGATGTGTTTTTAAAAAAGTTCTTTCAATTAATGAGAAAACTTTGTTTCGTCAATTGTGCATTTATCTCGGTAATGAGTGATTCCAGGAGAAAATGTCAAAAGATGTGTCTTTTAGGTCATAAAATTCCCGACAAAAAAGATCTGTTTGGTAAATGACTAGATTTAGGGTGGATGTGGGATGAAAATGTGGAGGGAGCTGTTGGGAAAATTACTGATGAGCTGGATTTAAAAAATCACACTTTATTTTGTAGGATCGAACCACTTTGTCAAAACTTATGTACACTCTTTGGTAATATGTAATTTCATTGGTGATAGTCTAATGTCACTGATGATTGTCTTTGCATGTTAATTTGGTGAGCCACTGAATTTAAACTGAATTTAATCAACAGAGGTGATGTACTGAATAAAGGTATTCAATTTTGAATGCTAATTGACTGAATCGACTTCTCAATATGAACTCTTACTAATGTTGATTAATACTCGTTAATAACTATTCGGTGAATTACTAAACATTGAATTAATCGTTGAGTTCTACTTAATATTTGTGGACTAGTTGAGAGACTACTACTTAGTTGATGTGAACTCGTTGAGATACGAATGGATACTATACGACCTCTACAGGTGATTTGCTCGAGATAGACTTGTACGGTGAGAGGCTAAGCCTAAACTGATTCGCTCGTGTTTCGGTGACTCATGACTGATGACCCGAAGGGTCCCGGAGATTTTCGAAGTGGGCCGATGGTCGACCAGAATGTTTTGGAATTTTAGTTGCGTTTCAAACAAGATCTTTTGACATTTTTTTCTTGAACTCCTCATTGCTGAGATTATTCAACAATTAATGAGTAATAAATAATAAATGATTCAAGTGGAACTGAATGTGTTTGTTGATTGTCCAATTATCTCGCGGTAATGAATGATTCTAGAGAAAAATGTCAAAAGACCTTTTTTGTGGGAATTTTTCTCAGCTACAAAAAAGATTTTTTTCACATTTTCTCCTAAATTCACTCGTTCTCGAGATAATTGCATAGGAGAAGGAGAAGGAAATAATGAGGAGGAATCGGCATCTCAGGAAGAATAAGAAGACGAGGAGTTTTGTCCAAATCAAATGGGCCACCCAGAGCTATGGGGCTTTGAGTCATGGAACTGAATGAATGATGTCAAAGGGAATGTATTACATGTATGAAAAATTCCAATAGAAAATCCTAGCGAATTCGCTAGGAAATTCTACTGGATTTCTATTGAAAGTTCTATCAATTGTTCACCAATTTCTATTGGAAATTTTTTACAATAGAAATATCTAATGGAACATATTTTTATAGGAAGAAATCAATGGGTTTTGTTTTGTCTATAAAATTCGTTCTATCGAGATTTTTCCATAGAAATTCCTCGGCAGAAATTTTCCAAGTTTTTTACGACGTTTTTTTTTACATCATGCCCCTTTAAAAAATCCAAGCAAAAAACAAGTTGGAAAATTTTTGGCGAGAAATTTCTATAGAAAAATCTCAATGGAATAGAATTGTATAGGAAAATCTAAACTTATAGATTTTTTTTTTTAAATGTATTCGACTTGAATTTTTCTCTTGAAAAAAATCTCCAATAGAAATTGGCAAAAAACTGATCGAATTTTCAAAGGAAATTCAATAGACAATCCTAGCGAATTCACTATGAAATTGTATTGTATAGGAATTTCTCTTCATACTCTTGCTGCTTAAAATTGTTTATGTTTTAGTTGAATGTTCTGTTTAATTTGATCAAAGTTGTGATTAATTTGATCAGTAATAAATTTGAAATTGGTTAAACTAATCTAACTAAATTTATTTATTACTATTGCTAAGTATTTATTATTACAACACTCGTGATAGATTGTAGGGGCGGGGAGAGGGGAAGGAGAGACGCTCGTAGCGACGCCGTCATAACTTTTAAAACTAAACCGCCATTTTATTTCTGGCGACACTTTTTCCTATAGAGTTGGGATACCCTGGACTAGGTTCCCCTGCATGGCCTTCCCGCTGTACTGGTGACTCCAACAGCTCCACGAAGTGCTTCAGCCGGGGAGCGTGAGTATTTCATCTCAACCTCAGTGATTAGCAACGTGGACTCAACGAAATCAACGAGATCTCACCGGGAAGCTCGGTTTATCGGCTCTGAACCACGGTGGATCTTCGTTTTTCTCAGGATTCACGAGGAATTTATAATGCATGAACCGAAACAGTAAATACAATTATCTGTAAATTTACTCTAAACCGTAATAAACTAAATTCAACCCCATAAAATCCGAAACAAACCGCGAAAGTAACAAAAATTTTGAAGGCAACGAATGATTTATTTTCAATTTACTCGGATATTTGATCATTTATCTTTTTTAATGTGAATCGACACTTTTTATTATTTATTTTTGAATTTTATTTGAATCCAACGTTAATTTTTCCCGCGAGACTAGTATCTTGAGATTCCTGATGGCTGGTCCCCGTGAGCTGAAGTTAGAATGGGGTGTTGCATCACCCTTGAGTAGGGGTGCCAACATTTGGAATGGAAAAATCGCGACTCTCCCTCGCAAAATCAAAGAAATCACTCTATACATACCCACTCTTTACATTTTTATTCGAAATTCTACGATGAAGTCGTGTACAGGTTGCGGAATTTCTTAAAATTTCGTCACAACGTGGATAATCGTATTTTTCGTACAAGGCTATAGTTTATATTGCTAACAAATTAGATTCCGAAATGGATTCTTTTTTTTTGAAATATATTACTCCTATTTTTGACTCTTCTATTTTTCTCGAATTCACTTTCATAAAATATATTATTGAAAATAA